GCCCCCCCCCCCCCCGGAGCAGTCCCCATCGTCGCCAGAACAACCCCGGCACCCCGGCAGTAGCCGCCCCTATAACGCCCTCAAATCGGCCTAATAGCTAGCCAATATTTTAAATAAACAAATATTATTTATTTAATGAGGCTCATTATTTTTAATAATAAATATTGAGATTTTGATCTCTTTAAATGACTTTCCAAAGCTAATGTATTTTAATTATAAAAGATGTTTTAATAACGGGTCTCTCGACATTAATTAATTAAATAAATTAATTAATGATTGGGATGGATCCGGAGGTTTGAAAATAAAGTTTCTAGAAAAATATTTAGAAGATTTCATAAATTTAGTTTTGACTGTTTATTTCCGAAAATGCAATCGGTTTTCAATTCGGACAACTTCGGGGGGAAAACCGCGTACCGTTAAGGCCATACTTTACACAACAGAATGTGAATTGGGGAGGACTCCTCATTCACTCACCTCCCACGCCACACACACACACTCTTCATCTTCCATAACCCCCCATTCATTTCTCATCTTTATTTCTCATATTAATCACCATTAACTCCTCTATTATAAAACTCCCTCTTCTCTTCACCTCCTTCACCAACTTGTAACTCCCATTCAACATCACAATCCTCACTCTCTCTCCCCTTTCCCCTTGTTCGGCCAATCACAGCGGCAGCCAGGCGGGGAGTTTTCCGTCGAGAAGACGAGGAGGTAGAAGAGAAGGAGGGCTACGCCAGAAGTCGTTCATTCATTCGTTCGTCCATTCATCGTTCATTGTCATCCATCCGTTCAATTCTTTTACGTTTCATCAAACCCTTCGTTTAGAGGTGAGTAGTTTTCCCCTCTAATTTTAGAACATCAAGTTATAATCTATGTTGTTATATTCATAGGGATATCGTACGCAACCTACGTAGAATCTATGCATGTTCGTAGGTTAGCCATCAAAACGTTTACTACGTAAAAATCGTATATATTGGCCTAGGAATCACTAGGAATATATTCATAAGTGTTTACATTATTGTTCTAAAAGAATCAAGGTGTTAAGTTCACAAAACGGATCAAAACGATGCAAGGGACAGCGGAATGTCTTCGGGACGGTCGATCGCCACTACCAACGGTGGACCGTTCCAACGGCCATTCTGACGGTCACCACCGTGATGGTCGACCGCCGTCCGCGACAGAAGACCACGGTGGATCGTCATCCATCCAGACCTCCATAATGTAGCCACGTTCGACCGCCGGTACGGTACGGTCGACCGTTCTAGAGGCAGATTTCCGGGCAGTTTGTAGAACGAGCTCTGTTGACCATATTGACTCAGAATCTGATTGTATGTTTGCCTGAAATGTTAATCTTCATTATGTATGCTATTTAATTGATATATTCTTGGCATTTTCCAAAGGTAAATACATCAAGCATTCATCATGTTCATTCTAGACGCATGTCCTAGGTTTATCATCATGTGCATACCGCTGTAGGGAGTTCAGGCTCTCGTGCGCCTACTACAGTGGGCCCGTCCAGGAACCTTTGGGATCCAAGGGGTTTTCATCAAGTGGGCCTTGTGTACGTACATGGTAGTCAGGCTACGGCTACCACCCGGTTTTTGCTAGTTCACTTGCGATGTTTCGTTGAGCCCGGCTCACTACCGTTGGTATGATAACCAGAGTGTAGCCTGTCAAGTGAGACTAAGCCAGGGGTGTCCCTGATAGTTTAAGTCATGCTTCAAGTCATATCGTCATCTTGTGTTTTCCATGTCATGTCAACATTCAATGTGGTCGTCATCATCATGTATGTTCCACGCCACATCAACATTCAATGCGGTTGTTATTCATTTTGTTATGTGTAATAATATCCCATCAAGTGCAAATTAATCAGTTAGTAAATATGTGGTTTTCCGTACGTTAAGTACAGGTATTAATATGTGTATAACCATATGGGTTATCACTTTATGTTCTTTTGTTAGATTCACTCCTCAGCTTTTGCTGAGCGTGTAGTTGTTTTTGCTACACGCAGGTAGACATGACGGTACAGGTGCTAACCCTGGAGGACAGTGATGATGGGAAGATGGGCGGCGCACGGGCGAGTTTAATAATTATAATCATTTGAACTAATTAATCATTTGGGCATGAACCCATCATATGTCGTTTTACTTATTTTGGACTTATTTATTTACTTCCGCTTTTACTCTGCATTTATATCACACACGTTTTGGGGTTAACTCCCTAGTATTTATTACACCAATTAAAGACAACCGTTTTCACAATAAATAGACATTAATGTTTCCGCTACGGACGGTTTCCGAACCGCTCATGTAACCCTACCGGTCCGTTGGGTCGCGGGTGAACCGGGTCCACGGAAGGTGGGTGTTACAGCCCCGACTGCCCAAACCCGAAGCCACACCAAACAGCCCTGTGGGGTGGTTCACAGCAACCCGAACAGTACATCAATTAACCCAAAATAGTCCAATCACATCCATTTGCACCCAATTGAATCTAAACAGCCCAATTGAATCAAGCCCAAGCCTCTGCCAGCCCGGCCAACTCGCCGCCGCCGTCGCCAGCAGGTCGCGAGAAGAGACGACGGAAACAGCCCCCAAGCACCAATTCCATAATTTCAACACAACAATAACAAATCCTCAAACAAATCGCAAGATTATACTCTAAGGAAGTTCTAATCTATGAATTAACGCTAACGAAAGGTATGGAAACCACAAATCACCTCGAAAAACGACGAATTGAACTTGAATCGGAGTGAATTCGCCGCTGCAACTCTTCCCTGGTTTCGCCAGCCTGCTGCGCGTGACGGAGGGACGAGGCGAGGACGTCGGTCGGAATCCCTAGCGTCGACGGCGACGACAGCGGTGAAGGTTCTCGACGGTTGCTGCGGCTGCTGGCTCTCCCTGGCAGACGGACGGCGAACAGAGGCGAAACGGACGAAGTGCGTCTCGTAACTCCCCCACTCCCTATTTAATATAAATTTAATTTTAAGGTCCAATTTACACTTCGTAACTGGTTAGGATAAATTTAGGCCCAATTACCTCATTCGGCAGTCGTATCTTGGGCCCAGTAAGTCTAATTCTCAACCCGTTTGCGCGGTCGGCTTCAGAACAACGTGCCCAACAACGTAGGTCAACCCCCATATTAAATACGCAAATTAGAAAATAATCCTCGTATTGACCGGCCCAATAATTAATTAATTCTATAAATTAATTAAAATACTAAGCTGGGTTTTGGGGCATTACATTTCTCTCCTCCTTAAAAGAATTTCGTCCCCGAAATTATCTGAATCATTGTCACTGGAAAGGTGAGGATACCGAACTCTCATGGAATCCCCAGTCTCCCACGTGGCTTCTTCAACGACATGGTAGCGCCACGGGACTTCGACCAAAGGCACCCGCTTATTTCTCAACTGCTTCACCTCGCGTGCTAGGATCTTCACAGCCTCCTCCTTATAAGTCAAGTTATCATCCAAAGTGATTGTTCCCTCGGGCAACCGATGGGTCGAATTTAATCAGTAACGTCGCAACATAGAGACGTGAAATACATTGTGAATCTTGTTCAATTCAGGGGTAGCTCCAACTGATACGCTACAAGACCAACTTCTGCCATGAGGGTGGAAGATTGTGCTCACATTTAGCTTGGTACCCAAAGCTTGTTGAAGTCCCTTCCTAAACTTTGAAATGAAACAGGGACCCCTATTAGAGATAATAGATACCGGCACTCCATGCAATCGATTAATCTCGCGAAGACACAATTCAGCTAACTTCTGAAGCGACATACCCCGTCAAACAGATAAAAAAAGTGCATATTTTGTAAGACGATCCACAATGACCCATACAACGTTGTAACGGTAAGCCAATTACAAAATCTATCATGATTCACCTATTTTCACTCGAGGATAGAAGGTGGATGTAAGATTTTGGAAGGTACTCAATGCTCGGCCTTGACTTGCTGGCAAGTCAAAACCGTGTTGTAAACTCAAAGATCTCTCCCTTCACAACGGGCCACAATAGTTTCCTTACAGGACATGGTAAATCTTACTAATACCGAGTTGTATGACGAAGATACTCCCAATTTAATCGATGTAGAATATTTGGAGAATACTCCAGTGTTTCTCCCTGGAAAATTTGAATAACGAAGAAACGTGGAGAAGATGATACGACGAAGAGTGCTAACTAAATTGGTGGAAATCTGGTGAATGGGCCTTTGATTTGGAAAGTACCACTCCGTGATGGTTTTGCATTTAGGGGTGGAAATTTCTTATTTTGTTATTTAAAGTTCTATTATAAAATTACTAAACTATAATATTTATTTTGATGACAACTTTTAAAACATAACTCCCAACTCGACCAACTATGTGTCACGGGTCACCCTTTTTGCGAGACCTACCCAACGATCCAGGATTCGTGAGTTAACATTATTTCCATGTCCCCTCGTATTTTACTCGTTCACTTTAAAATCTTCTCGGTCTTGGGATGAGCAATTCCATAACTTCAGTAACTCAGATTTGCACGCGGAATACGCCATTGAACTCGTCTTGTCAGGGCTTTCAATTCAATTATGAATTTTTTTCCACCAAATTTAACATTGAGAAATAATTTATTTTTAGCACGGACATTTTTGTTTTTTTATATTTTAATTTAAACAAAAATTAAAATTACGATTTGTTACATGTTTAAAACTAAATCCTAGGGTATACTTCACGGCATTACCTCTCACTTTTTTTTGAATACGACACGTATTTTTTTTCTTTTTTTTGTGTGTGCAAAATGATCATTTATCAAAAGTTCTCTAGTGAAAATGTTTAAGTGACTTAATCACTACGTCGTTTACCTAAAAGATTAACACCCAATCTAAAAATAATTATTTTTATGAAAGTAACAATTTACCTTGAATAGGATAACCTTTTACAAACTTTATTTCTTAACCCCTTTTTTGTAAAGAGGAAACATATTTTTTTTTCTTTTGTTACCCATTACCTCATATTGTCATCCTCGTCTGACCCTAAAATAAAACACCCTCATTCGTCAGAGTCTGCAGCCCCTTCTGAATTTGGTTGTCATTTCAGTATTCAGCGATTCAATTGAATACAAGATAAAGTTTTTTTTTAACGATGCCACTAGGCCACCAATTTCACACCTTACCTTAGTGCTACAATATACACTTTTCTCGCATGGATTGAACAAATTTAATTTCAAGCTTACCTGAAATTATTCTTGAAGTTACTTTATATAGTTTTTTTTGCACAGTCACTTACCACTTAAAATATTAGCATCACCAATTTAAAAGAGTGCAGTTGGAACCCCTTTGCAATATTTTTTTTTGTTTTGAGCAACCCTCGTTTAGTTGATTCATATACACAATTTGTTTTTGTATTAAATAATAAGTTTTTAGAAAATTAATCTCACTAAAAAGTATCATAATTATCAAAAGTTTTAAATTCTTAAAAGTAACCTTTAGAAGCTACTTTCTTCAAATTTCATCTAACGTCGGTCTACTTCACTTATCTGTTATATATATTTTCCTAAAGATAACTTATTACATAGTAATCTCTCACATAGTCTAAATATATGGCAATTTTTTTCTTATATGGTAACTACTCGCAAACTTGTCTAATTCAAAAATTCTTTCTTATGAACCACTGCTCAATATTATATTTATTATTATTTGTGTAAGTTCATTAAGTAGCTTATAATTTATAAGTTTTTTTCATTTGGTTCAAATTATGTGTATTCACCAAAATACTTTGGTTTAGAGTTAATCCTAATGGTTCAACCCATAATATTTGTTTTCATTTTCTTCGTTCAACAATTATTTGTTGGGAACATTTCATTCTTGACATGAGGTTTTACATACACTTTACAACATGGTGGTAGTTATAGATCTTCAACTATGAGATGTTTTTTCCTTTCAATATATAAAATTTAGCGAATTAGTTACATATCTTGTTATTCTCTTCTAGAATATTTACGTTGTGTGATTCATCCCATACTATTGAGCCACCTTGTAATTCAATATTAAGCATTAATTTGTCTTTGGTGGCGTGATGCTACAATTTTGAGAAAGCTAATTATCTTTTGAGAGTCTCAGCACAACAAATATGGTCTGAAATTAATCAAAAACTTCGAGGATAATTGTGAGTTATCCATTTCCCTCAAGTTGGCACCGGGCAGCTAAGTTCATATCTACATTCTTTTATACACCTTTTTTTTCTTTCATATTTACATTCTTTATACGAACCAAGTACTAGTGTGTTAAATCCAACTCCGGTGGTTGAGATTTTCAATTGTGACTATATTTTTTTTAACATTTACACATGTTATCAACATGTAATATAATATATTCTTTCTCACAATTATTATTATAACATGATCGCACTAGTCGTCATGGATAGTTGTGGATTATGACTCAGGCTCGTTTGGTGAGTTTTGGAGATGTGATGAGACATGAGTTTTTTTTTAAATTTGAGAGGAGATGATATGAGTTCTGAAATCTGATTAGAAGGTGTTTGGTGAGAGAGACATATACTATGTATATATGTAGTGATTATGAATAGTAGCAAAACCGTGACCAATCCATCGCTGAGGACTTCGCCAAATTTTGTTGCAGAGGAACGTATAGGAAACTAAACGGTGAACATGGGTTATGAATAGAAAACATATATATTCCTCGGCCGTCATTGTCGATGATCCAGATCCACTGCTAGAGACACAAATTTCCCGTTGCCCAATGGGAAGGAGACATAGGGTTTGGTGCGAAGATAAGAGGATTTTGATGTGTTCAGACAGATTTTCCCATCTTCATCTCCTTCGATTTTGATAATGTCTTTCTCGCTTTCGAAAGCGGTGAATTAAGATTGAAAACTTCCCATATCTCTAGCTTTCAAAATTAAATTCTTTTTAAGTTCACCAACACCAAAATTAGGACTTTGATATGCGAGATATCAAAATCCACATTTTTTCCTTCTCACCAAATACAACCCTAATTTAAGATTCACCCTCCAAATTCACTACACATAAGTATTTCTTTATATAACTTAATAAACCAACCAATAACTAAATATTAAAGACAACAATTAATTATCACATAAGCAACATTAAGGATTCAGAGTTACCTCCCGGAGCAGCGATGCAGTGAAGCTGTGGATGCTCGACACATGTATATATAATAATAATTTTTTTTCAAAATTCGTAACATCACTTTTTTTTTTAAATTGGTAAATCATCATTTTTTTCGTTTTTAAACAAAATAGTTTTTTTTCGAAATTGATAACTTTTTTTAAAAAAAACAAAAAGAGTTTTTATAAGTTTAATTATTTTGGCAAAGAATCGTTTTTAAAACCACATTCTCTGATACCAAAATGTAACACCCCAACCCGCGTAACCCGAACCAACGGGTTAGCGAACCGGGTTGCCACTAAGTTGATATTCGCATGCATAATTTTTTTTTAAAATGGCCATTAAATCAATTATAAAATTCGTCCCTAGAGTTTTAACTAAACCCAAATTCATCAGAATAATTAAATAAATCCAAACGTCGCGGAAGCATAAGAAAACAAAAGTAACGTCCAACAGTCCATATAATCAAATAAAATAATGTAGTTTAATTATTAAAGTAAACAAGAGCCATCCACACCACACCACCACTTCGCTGCCCTCCGGGTTGCCCATCCGAATCTGTGTTCCTACCTACGTGCAGTCAAACAACAACGACTACACACTCAGCGAAACGCTGAGTGAAAATATACCTAAGCCAGCATTAACTCACAGAATAGCACCACATTAACATACAATCAACAACATCATGCGATCACGGAGAAAAATAGCTTTAATAAACATATTTATGTTAACATCTTCTATTTGAACATCATGTCCCTATTTAATTCCACATCAACTACTTTGAGTCATGGCACTCCAAGCGATGCTATAAAAGGGCCAACTCAGAAACCCAAAGGAGATTCACTTTGGGCAAGTTGAAGCCCCTGTCCCTATGATGCCCGGACAGGTCGCGGACTTCCGTACGTACGTTCTTAACCCAAGACCACCGGGGGTGCGACGACGCCCCGCAATGGCCAATTTCCTAACCATATCCTATTGGTGATTCAATCAGTCAATCCAATTCGGGTCCGCCTATTTATACTAGGTGGCCTAATTCCCATATATTATTCATAATCCATAATTTTCACCAATAAGATCAATTTAATTTAAATCTCAGTTCACAATTCACAACAAATCATGTAGCGGCCTATCCAGGCTAAAGACCCACGATTACCGTCATGCATAATTAAATAACCAAAATTACAGTTAACCCAACTTACCTGTGCGGAATCGAGCCCAAGGAATCGATCCTCAAGCCCGCTGCCCCCGCCGGAGCAGTCCCCATCGTCGCCGGAACAACCCCGACACCCCGCCAGTAGCCGCTCTGACTGCCCAAACCCGAAGCCACACCAAACAGCCCCGTTGGGTGGTTCACAGCAACCGGAACAGTACATGAATTAACCCAAAATAGTCCAATCACATCCATTTGCACCCAATTGAATCTAAACAACCCAATTGAACCCGATTGAACTCGTTTGGACCCAATTGGATATAATTAGGTCAAGCCCAAGCCGCTGCCCAGCCCCGGCCAACTCGCCGTCACCGTCGCCAGCGGGTCGCCAGAAGAGACGACGGAAACAGCCCCCAAGCACCAATTCCATAATTTCAACACAACAATTACAAATCCTCAATAAAATCGCAAGATTATACGCTAAGGAAGTTCTAATCTATGAATTAACGCTAATGAAAGGTATAGAAACCACAAATCACCTCGAAAAACGACGAATTGAACTTGAATCGGAGTGAATTCGCCGCTGCAACTCTTCCCTGGTTTCGCCGGCCTGCTGCGCGTGACGGAGGGACGAGGCGAGGACGTCGCTCGGAATCCCTAGCATCGACAGCGGCGAAGGTTCTCGACGGTTGCTGTGGCTGCTGGCTCTCCCTGGCAGACGGACGGCGAACAGAGGCGAAACGGACGAAGTGCTTAAGTCTCGTAACTCCCCCACTCCCTATTTAATATAAATTTAATTAAATTTTAGGGTCTAGTTTACATTTCGTAACTGGTTAGGATAAATTTAGGCCCAATTACCTCATTCGGCAGTCGTATCTTGGGCCCAGTAAGTCTAATTCTCAACCTGTTTGCGCGGTCAGCTTCAGAACAACGTGCCCTACAACGTAGGTCAACCCTCATATTAAATATGCAAATTAGAAAATAATCCTCGTATTGACCAGCCCAATAATTAATTAATTCTATAAATTAATTAAAATACTAAGCCGGGTTTTGGGGCGTTACATACGCGGTAAAGGATATCGATTTTTGATTGTGACTTTGTTTAATTGACGATAATCGATGCAGAGTCTCATCGAGCCGTCTTTCTTTTTGACAAACAGAATGGGTGCTCCCCAAGGGGAAACACTCGAACGTATGAATCCTTTATCGTGCAATTCTTGTAGTTGAGCCTTCAACTCTTTCATTTCAGTAGGGGCCATGCGATAAGGAGTTGTAGATATCGGTCCTGTTCCTCGAACAAGATCGATGGAAAATTCTACTTCTCTAGAAGATGGAATACCAGGAAGTTCGTCAGGAAATACATCGGGAAATTCACAGACGGTTGGTATGTTATTCAATTCGAGGGTTTCCTTTCGTGTGTCACGTACGTTACACAAATAAGCCTCACATTTCTTCCGAATGAGACGCCTAGCGTGTATGTACGAGATGAACTCAGTGGGTTTAAGAATTGGCTTTTCTTTCACCTCTATGGATCCTCCTTCGTTGGTTTTCAGCTGTACCACCCGTTGTTGGCTGTCAATAACCGCTTGATATTCCGTGAGCTAATCCATTCCAAGGATGATGTCGAATTCTTGGTACGGCAACTCAACGAGATTTGCAGAGAATCGTTGTCATTCAACAATTAAGGGACAGTCCTGATACACATGATCTAATCTCATGCTATGTCCTAATGGGTTTGACACTAGTATAGGTTGTTCTAAACTTTCTTTCATTATATCGGCTTTTTCAGGCATAGGTACGCAGATATAAGATAACGTTGATCCAGGGTCTATCAACACATTCATGACAGTATCAAATAAGGAAAACATACCCTGAATGACGTTAGGGTTTTCCTCAGTTTGAGCCTTCATTGCATAGGTACGGGCACGAGCTCGTCCTTGCTGCTGATTTTGATTTTTGGCAGGATTAGACCCCGCTGTTGAGCATTGACTTGGTGCGGGTCGTGTTGATGCTGCTTGACTAACAACAGGGGCAGGTGGAAACGGTTCTCCAGGGTTTGTAGGGCACTCCTTTCGGAAATGTCCTGGTTTTCCACAGCCAAGGCACAACCCTTGTGTAAGCCAGCATTCTCCAGGGTGATTCCTTCCACAGTGTTCGCAAGCAGGATACCTTCGCTTTCTGGATTTGTCAACGGATGCCATCAACTGAGTTTGTACAGATTTCCCCTTTTTGGAGAAATACGAACTACTAGATTCTTGGAAGGGCCTTTTTCCTTTTGAGGCAGAGCTGAAGGGACGGTGAGTGCTTGAGCTGACATTGTTTGTCTTCAGATACTCGATGCAAGCACTCAAATTGCTGCCTGCCCTGGCTATGAGATCGTAGTCCTCCGCGAAATCCATAGTGGTAAGGACAGACACTCGCGACTTGAGGTCAGGTCGAAGTTTCTTCCTGAAGTCCTCAATGCGATCGGTTGGGGTACTCACCAAAGTTGGTGCAAACTTTGCAAGTTTGGTAAACTTCTGGCGGTATTCAGGGAGTGTCATGTCTCCCTGTTGCAGTTCGACAAAGTCCTTACGTCTTTCTTTGCTAAAACGTTTCGGAATATATTCTTGTTTGAATGCCCATTCGAAATGTGCCCGTGTCCACGGCTTAGGGGTTCTGCACTCTCATCTGTCTTGTTCCACCACTCGTAGGCTTCCTTGCGAAGCAGTTGAGAAGCCAGTCAAGGATAGTTGTCAATGGGTACGTTGAGATCCTCCAACACTCGACCAGTCTCCTCGATCCAGTCCCACGCAATTTGGGGTTCACCGATGCGATCCCCAAGGAATAATTTTGCACCGTTATCCCTTAGTGTTTTGTAGGTTATCACACGAGGTGGCAGTGGTGGAGGTGGTTGAAACATTGGCGCGTTGGCTATCTGTTGTAACACATTAGCCAGAAACGCTGGAATCACAACGTCAGGTTGACCACCAGCATTCGGGTTATTCCCAACATTTTGTTGATTGACAGGTTCATTGTGGACAGGAGGGGTGAAGCTATATGCTTCAGTATGAACACTAACGTGTTCATTGTTGTTGCCTTGTCCGTGGGCGGATTCTTGACTCATTCTACAATAACAGAAATTCCCTTATTAGGATTCTTTTATTTTAGTAGTTGAGTTCATGACAGGAATTGCAACGGATTACAACAGTCGATAAAATTAATAGATTTGAAACGAACAACAAGATAATTTCTAAACGTTTGCGTTCGATTGATTGGATCGTGACGAATCTACAGCGGGGTTTCTACGCTTGATCCGCACACGCTGTTTGCAGAGTCTATGTTGAACGTTTCTTCCAGGTCATCCTGTTCCAAAGCAGCCTTGCGGCGCAAATAAATCCTTTGTTTTATTATTTTCGCGAAGCGATGGGCACGTTGATAACGTATCAGCGAGTCATATACATTTCGTTTGTTCTTTCGTCTTTTACCATGTACGAAAGTGCGACTTGAATCAACACTTGATATCATTTCCGAATTAACAGTTGACATCTATAAAGATTTAATACAGTCAAATTCAATACTTAATTTTTATTACCTTCCCGGAGCAGAGTGATGCGAGAGTCGTGGATTTGATTGATTTTTGTATGGCCGAAATATATATATATATATATATATATATATATATATTGTTTTTGTTTTATATTTATATATATATATATATATATATATATATCATATATATAAATATTTATTTTTTTTAAACAAATTTTTGATCCGAAGATCGGTTTTAAAACCATTTGCTCCGATACCAAATTGTAACACCCTAATCCGTCCAAGTCTGCAGCCCCTTTCAGACTAAAGTATTAACTTGGTAATCGTAAAATTTAAAACATTTAAAATATTTTTATTCATCATAATTATTATTAAATACATAACTGTAGCAAAATACGGAGTGTTTAATAATAATGTGGAAGCAATTTAAACCATGTTTAATAACAACACAATTATTCATTTTAAAATCACAAATTCCACCACGACAGTCTCGCCCCTTCCGCTGCCAGGAACATGCCAATCATTCATCCTGCCTACCTGCGTGCAGCAAATAAAACACACTACACGCTCAGCAGTGAAGCTCAGTAAGCATATCTAAAGCGTCGAACATCCACATACATTGAATCTCAATTCATAAACAATCATTTAATATCATGCACACAATATATAAGTCATTCATGATATTCTCAATATTTTTATTTCAATATTTCAATATTGAACATTCACATTCAATATTAAACAATATCCTTAAACTATGCTTAGTCTAAGGCCAATCTTTGTGATATTTACCAACTCTTAAACTTATTCTAGTTTAAGGTACTTCTAACCAACTCTTAAACTAGGTTCTTAGTTTAAGGTGCATATTTTCCGATTAATTTACCAACTCTTAAACTAGCCTTTGCTTAAGGTACAAGTCCAAAAAACCGAACAGTAGAATACTAATTGTCGGGTTGGGTGGTATCCCCTAGTTTGGTTTATGGATCCCGTACGTACGTTTTTACCAAGGCCATCAAATATACATAATTATACCCGCAAGGCCCATTCTAATTTGAAGTCTATCTTAGAGGTCTTCTAGATAGCCTTAACAATACAACTCATTTTTCATCAATCCATTTATTTTGATTCTAGTTCAATACTTCATAATAGTCATTTTATTCAAAATAATCCTCATCATTAATCCATAATAATCATACATCATAATCATCAATTAACGTAACATTCAAAGCAATAGAAAATAGCGGCTAGCTTCGAGTGTTAACACTCTAGCTTACCGTCATGCATCAAATGACATATTAGGATTAATCAAAATATTATATTTGCTTTAAAAATGGTTTCATTTTTGTCTTGGAGTGGAAAAATATCATGATAGCATTTTCTGGAGTTAATTTCTGAACATAAAGATTTTGGACACGCTAAAATGGCCTGTGGCGGTACCATCCTACCGTCTCACGGTATCGCATTATCGTCGCACGGTAGTGCATTACCGTCGCACGGTAGTGCATTACCGCTACTGCGTGCTGCATTCGAATCAGGAACAGTACTTCGTCTTCAACCTCGGTTCAAGCTTCGTAAATATCATTTTGAGCTACCAAATTTCAATTAAACTATATAGAAATGTTCTCCAAGGTTCATAGATCATTTTGGCATCATTAATTCATAGTTTTAACATCAAATTCAAGGTTTATGATTCTTAGTTCTTCAAGCATGTCAAACACAAAACTCAACCAAATAACCATTTATGAACGTAGAAACGACCTATATGAAAATTCTAGTCATTAGATATATCTACGGGCTTACCTCGAAGTAAAATGGAGGTTTTGAAGATTTTTCGGCGAAACTTCCGGTGAGGATTGTGGCTATCTTCGGTGACGGGAAGCTCTCTTGACAGCACTACTTCACTCTCTACACTCTCAGCTATCTCTTGGAAGAAGATTGGTGAAGAATGGTGAGAAATTGGAGGGTTTATATAGGAAGGAGGAGGGGGAAGAAGCCATGGGAGATGACCTCTCTAACATTGTTTTGGCGTCTCAGTGGAGCGATCGGCTGATTTCTACGGGTTTTAAACGCAAGTACCTGATTGGGACTAAATTGGTCCCAGTCGGGGAACACTTTTTGGTCCAACTTTCTCCGAATTGAAATCCGATTGAACCGTTGGAGTCAGACAGTCAAACTCTACACAACGATATAATTTTCATTATTTAATGACAACTTTATAATTTACTTATTTTCTTTTTGGGTCCTTCTCAGTAATTAATTAATTGTCAATTAATTAATTCTGATAGGCCTATTTTTGGGGCGTTATAGGGTAGGTCTAGTATCTCAATCTTTGCCAACTTCGACACATGTTCCGGGCGACACATGTTCCGGGCAGGATTGCACTAATTTGGAAAGCATATCAGCATCAGTGTTTTCAGACCGGGGAATCCTGGTCAGACAGAACTCCTCTAGTTCTTTGAAAAATAGCCCGAATCTAATCACTATACCAGGCAAGGCGTTCTTCTTTGACCTCCATCTCTCCATTAACCTGCCCAACGACAAGGCTTGAATCTCACCGGATTTTCATTCTTTTAATACCAAGTGCCCGGGTCAATCTAAGCCCGCCGGTTAGCGCCTCGTACTCCGCCTCATTGTTGGTGCAGTGAGCTTGAAGTTGAACACGAGAACATGGTAAATCTTGAATCCTTTGGGGGTAGTGAAAACTATCCCGGCTCCACAACCTTTGGGCCAGGATGCCCCACCCACGACCATGTCCCACCATGGTTTGACTGTATGGGATGGTCCCGCTTCAGGCTCCAATCCGGTCAGTTTAACCAAGAAGTCGACCAGGGCTTGACCCTTGATCACAGTTCGAGGCTTATAATCGGTTTTGAACTGGGTGAGCATCATTGCTTATTTGATCATTCTTCCTGAAGAAGTAGAGCTACGGAGGACCGGTCCAAGTGGCTGATCGGTTAGTACTTCTACTGCATGGGCTTGGAAGTATGCGGTCAGTTTTTTGGCCGTTATAAAAAGTGCATACGCAGTTTTTTCAATAGCAGTGTACCAGCTTTCTGCCCCGTTAAGTGATTTGCTCACATAGTAAATAGGCATCTGGCCATCTTCATTCCTTATTAAAACAGAACTTACAGCGTTTTGGGATATGCCTAGATACAAATACAAAGTCTCACCTGGCTTGGGCTTAGACAAAACTATGTCAGAAACTAAGTACTCTTTCAGCTGTTGAAAGGCCTCTTCACACTCCCGATCCCATTCGAAGGTGCTAGCCTTCTTCAGGACTTTGAAGAAGGGTAAGGCTCTCTTAGCTGACCGGGACAAGAAATGGCTCAGAGCTGCCAGCCACCCGGTCAGCCGTTGCACATCTTTTTAGGAACTTGGTGACCTCATCTCTGTTATTGTCTTGATCTTCTCCGGGTTGGGCTCTATCCCACGGCAAAGACACACTTCTTGGGGTTGAGGCGCAGGTTGTATTTGGCCATGATCTCAAAACAAATTAGCCTCATGTCCGCTGGGTGGTTTGCTACTCCTGGGCTCTTTATCAGCATGTCGTCCACATATGCTTCCATGGACTTACCGAGCAGTGGTTTGAACAACCGGTTTAACATCCGCCGGTAAGTAGCGCCCGAGTTCTCAAGTCCAAAGGCCATCACCCGGTAGCAATACGTGCCTTTGGGAGTAAGAAAAGAATTGAAGTCTTCTATATAGGTTGCAATTCAAGTGAGAATGATCCTTACTACGAGAAATGAGAATGGTGCATTTGTGTGCTGTCATGATACATTTTTACATTGTGGTAGTGTATTTTCGGCACTAGGAGTAAAGTTCAACTTATTTACCATAATGCCACTAGGGTTTTTCAAATTTTTTTAGTTTTTAAAATTTTTCAAGCCCGCAACGAATTGTTAAAGCGGATTGAAATGGAAAACTCCAAGGCTATGGCGACAACCATGAGCACATCTGAACACCTTGACAAAGACGAGAAAGGTAAGGAGGTAGATGTCATGAAATATCAAGGTATGATCGATTCTCTTCTATATCTTACCGATAGTAGGCTAGATATCATGTTTAGCATATCCCTTTATGGTAGGCGTGTCATAGCACCTACAAATTAGTTTATTAATTTCCTAACTGAAACCCCCCTTTATGAATTAATATTCATTAAAACATATAGATAGGGCAAGTTAGGGTCAACCCCACGAGGAAAGATACTATTATTGACATCGTTACACCAATTCAATTGGAAACTCTACGGTGCTCTGATCGTAAAATTGATTATTCGTACTGTAGCGCCCCAAAATATTCTCTAAAAGTTATATTAAATTATTATTCGAATAAACAAATGACTTGATTAAAATAATTTGTTGTTGGGCTTTGGGCCAAAATAAAATATGTATTGATATCCAATATCATAATATGGATAAATCTTATATGTTGAAACACGGGCATGTCACGTTTTGGTACTAAAGTCGTGTTCGTTTTTTTTTTGTAACAGGTTTTGATAATGCCAAACCGCCGTGATCAAGACAAACATTGAATATACAAGGCGAAGAACGAAGATAAAGAACAAGAGCTAAAAGAGACCAAGAACGAAGACCGCAGTCTTTAGTATTGTTGAGTCGGTCTTAATTGTAATCAAGACTGACCCAACCCTCACGCATTGGCTCTTTAGGCTAAAACCTTTCACTGCATTTCTTACATCATA